TTTTAAATTCCAAAAATGGTTAAAATCAAGTAGATCTATAAACATATAAAAATCTTGAAAATGGACGGTGTAGATAATATGTTGTAAGATGCACTATTTTTTAGACTCCAAATATTTTTATTTTTCATAATCATACATCTCGATGTCGAGGTGATCAATCACAAGGTTTTTCAATATTAAAATAACCATTTTCGATGGATTTTGAAGTGCACACGTAGTTCTATATTTTTAAGGTTGCAACCTTATATAATTTTTTTCCTAATTTAATATCTAATATAGTCAAAATTTTATTTTAGTGTCAACAATTTTATTTAGCATAATTGTAGTGTCAAATTCTTAGGGTGGCTTGAGAATCTATTTCCATCGCTAATTATAAAATTTTAAACTCCAAAAATGAATCAAATCAGGTAGACCTACGAACACAAAAATCTTGACAATGGATGATCCATATAATAAGTTACAAAATACACTATTTTTAAGACTCGAAATCTTTTTTTCTTTTCATATTGATACATATGGACGTCAAGATGACCAATTAGAGGGTTTTTCAACAACAAAACAACCATTTAGATTTTTTGAGGTGCACCTTTAATTCTGTTGCAACCTTATATAAACATTTTTTAATATATATATATATATATATATATAAAATAGAAGACGTTTCATAAAATTTTTTTAATAGATATATATATAAATAATAGAAAGACGTTTCATATGCGAACGACATATGTTGTAATTCTTACTGTTTTCTTTGAGTTGTAATCATATGTAACTGATTAATCATAGCTATTTTGCTCTTCTTTTCGAGGTGCGGATGAAATTGACAAGATACCTACATATCCTTGGAACCAAATTATGAAAAGAAATATGAAAATGTTTAAAAGCTATTCACTTGGCACAAGCTTCAAAAATCGCTTAAAAGAAATGTTTTTGAACTTTGTGACAGATCCAAGTCATCAAATTTCACATTAAATGGTTGTATTGAATTATAATCACTTTGTATCAAAAATAAATATTCTCATTGTATACAATCTCTTGTATAAATGACATTGAAATCGTTCTTAGCCTCTAATATTTTGCAATAATCAATAAGGCATAAAATATATTTTTCATGCACAAGATGCACATATTGATTTTCTTTTTTTTCTTTTCTTTTTGAGGATGAGTCAATGGGGAGAGGACTTCCACCCTTGGTAGAAATTGAACCTAGTACATAGCATTGCAAATCATTAAGCGCCATATTGTCCATGAGAATTTACAAGCTTCGGGAATTAGGGAATTATAGCGAGTTATGTTTCATGCTATTGAAAGTTGATTTTCTTGCCAAATTGCATTTAGAAGAATATTTTTGCAGCCTAGAAGATCAATCTCAAAATGCACACCATCCATTCGAGGGAGGTGCAGGAAAATTTATCAATTTGCTTGTTCAAGTCTTTACATATATTGCTTTGTTGAATCTAATGCAAAATGAAGATTAGGGATATACATTATTTGATGTTAACCCCTGAAATAGACTATACGCACACATCAGTAAATATAACTATATGTAGAAGCTTTCAATTTCTTCCCATAACAGTAAATGCAAAAAATGAAACCCAGATGGAAATGTAGAAATTCTTATTAGGGTAGACTTCAGAGCACAATACAAATAGAATGATCGCAAACTGGAATGAGATGCGGAATCAAGCCTTTTTTATAAAGGATTTATCATTCATGGTAACGAATGTAATCGAACGGAAATTATCCTTGAAAATATTAATTTTTTTTTAAAAAAAAACGAGTATTTGTCTTCATATGATTAAACACTACTTCCAGTTTAATAATGAAATGTCATAAAAAAACTGAGCTCAGCTCGTATCATACAAAGAATTTAAGACAATTGAAGAGCTCAAAACAAGGAGAATTTTCATAAATGGCATCTTTCCTAATTTCTAAACAATATATCGTAGCCATTAAACTGAAGCAAACATCCCCAACATCGATATGCAAGCTTTTTGTCTCGGATATGAAGTAGGTTACACAAGAGCGTCTACCTGTCTTCTAGTCAATCTTGCATATATCCCATTCATACCAAGAAGCTCCGAATGCTCACCCATCTAAACAGAAGTAAAAAGAAATGTCAACTAGAAAGGCAGTGATCACCATGCTTTGATTAATCTTATTGGAGCTATTAAAAAGTTTTTAATTGATTTCCTTTCTTTGAAAAGCATAGTCAAGTATATTTAGATAGAAGGTAGACGAGAAATATGCCTTAAGGCACAGAAAACTGGGCTTCCATGCTGGGCATGGATAAAAATGTTGATGTGGCTGTTAAGCTGTGTGAAAGTATGTGCCTGCATTATGTTTTTAAAACCTGATTAAATATATGCATGGGTGGATGGAAGCATATCGGAACACAATTTTAAAACCCATTATGGAACTTGCCTCAACAATGTGTCCTCCGTCCATTACTATTATCCTATCAGCAGCTCGTATTGTGGATAGCCTGCATAAAGATAAATTTTACGGTGATCATTCAGACTGATAAAATAACGTAAATCATAAGTTCCTTTGGTCTTAGGACTTCACCTATGAGCGATGACAATCACTGTTCTTTTTGTCTCAGGTCCTTTCATCGCTGCATACAGAGCTCCCTGAACAAGGTTGCTGAAAAATCAGATTCAAAATTTTTAAACAAGAGGGAGGGACGACACATGAATGGATTATATCGACCTGAACATGATGTTCACTCTCTGCATCTAATGCACTTGTGGCTTCATCAAGAATCAAAATAGCAGGGTTCCTGAGAATGGCCCTTGCAATGGCGATACGCTGTTTCTGTCCCCCGCTAAGCAGGCCATCATCAACAAGGGTTTCATAACCATTCGGGAGAGAAGAAATGAAATGATGGGCATATGCCTGCTTAGCAGCCCGCTCAACATCTTCATGACTGACTTCCCTGGTGCACCCATATCTTATGTTTGAACTGATGTCCATTCTAAAAAGGCGTGGTTCCTGCTCAAAAGTGAGTACACTAAAAGCAATCTTCTGCAAAGTATCCAACTTATACCAATGCATTCAGATACAGTGAATTACCTGTCCCACAAATCCAATATTCTCTCTGAACCATTTGATGTCCAACTCGCTAAGTGGAAAACCATCGATTAATATCTACCATGAACAATGACCCCATCAATGCAGTTCCATAGTTGAAAAAACCATTTAAATGACCATATAAAGCAAACATATACATCTGTAACTCCCACAAAAACTTTCCTCTAATTTTGTAAATGCTATTATCATATTATAATTAATCAGGTATAATATGAATGTGCAAAATTATCAAGAATGATGGAATAAACCATCATTGATCTTGCCACACAATGTCAAGATAATGGGACAAATGGAATTCCAAACAAGAGAGGTGACTTACACTTATTGTAGAGAACAGCACATGATAATACAGTGAAAACAAATAAATTATACTTGTCCTAAGAAGATGATACATAAAATCAATTATTTGAAAGTCACCCATACAGATGGCGAATGGCTGATTCGGATTAGAGTTCGTGGGTATTGGGCCAAATTCTTGCCTGAAACCGGGAAGCAGCGCAAGTCAAAGTAACTCATCTGAGCCTGACTCTGGTAGAGAACCAACCGAGACAATCAAGGAACTTGGTGATTGTTTTAAAATGCAGATCGGTGGGGTAGATCCACCCATCTAATTCGTTCCAGATCAAGTGAATAGATGATCGGACAAACTAAATAAACATGATATGCAAGGGTGGTTTTTGTGCAGGAATTGTCTACAAAGAGATCATTTATCTTTTGAACATGGAGGTCACAATCATTCCCACTCATTGGATGGAAAATTGTATGGCTTGGGGTGAGTCACGAAGTCCCAGAAATTTTTTTTTAGAACTTTGTGTCTAATCAATGGCACTCTTACAACCACCCATTTTGAAATTTATGGGACAATGATTGTGACATCCATGTACAGAAGATAAATGTTCTCTTTGTAGACAATCCCTTTTGTGTATGACAGAGCAGTGTTTCAAAAAGCGCTTGGCGGCACCTAGGCGATTGAGGGGGTCCAGGCCGCCCAGTGCCTAGGCGGGCACCCAGAACCTAGGCGGCCTAGTAGAATTTTTTTTTTTTTGGGTTTTCTTTCTCTAAAATAGCCTCTAATGGGTTTTAGATTTCAAATAACCTAAAACCCACAATTTTGACCTTTTAGTATTAAAAGAAATGATCCAAAAATACCCTCAAGGAGCCACATTTTCGCCCTTGGGCGGCGCTTAGGGATATCCGCCTAGTTTGGCCGCCTAGGCCGGGGCATTGCGCCCAGGCCTTCTGGACCGCCTAGGCGCTGGGCGGTCCGCTTTTTAAAACTATGTGACAGAATTATTGTTTATAACACTAACTAAAATAATTATTAAGCATTTTTTTCGCTTCCCCCAGGCACAACTGGTTAGGCCAAATCGTCAATTCCGACCAAAGTTCGGCACACAACCATGGATGATTCCCAATCCGGATCAAATATGACCAATGTGGATTGGCGATTTTTCAATCAATGATTCTGTCAAACAAAATCGCCAAGTTCCCACCCATTTAAATTTAGATTTTACTACCTCTATATTCTTTTATTTTTCAAAATAAAAAATATCATTATAATTTTCTTGGACCGATTCCCACACCAGAGAATTGGTACAAAACTCCCCAGATCGACAATCCAAATCGGTCCAGCCTGTGACTAATCCATACACCTAGTTCAAGTTTAAAAAACCTACACAACATCCATAGTAAAATAAATAACTATCATTGCAATAGAGAACAATATAACAAGACACCACACATTTTGTATTGTGGCACAATGTTGGTAGGACCAAACCAATCGGTCCTTGATGAGAGCAACGGTCCGGTCAGACTGGTTCATCAGTCAAAACTAATTTAAAAAACTTTAAAATTATGGAACAATATGAAAAATCCAAAAGATAGATAAAATTATTAAAGACCCAAAGAAATAAATTTTGTTTTTATACTTCTTTTTTGTTTTTTGTAATTTCGGTTCCTAAAGTTTAAAGGATTTTACAATTTATAAAAGCACCCATAAAACTCAAAACCAAAAAAAAGTGCAAAAAAACTTCTGCTTTTTAATTTTTTTTTCATTTTCTGTTTCTCAAATAAGGACTATTACAATTTGGAAAAGCCATTAAGAATCACAAAAATAACTTTCAATATTTCCTTTCTTTTTACATCCTGTTTTGTTTTTGTTAAAGGGTTTACAACACCAAAGTAAAACTAAAATGAAAAAGAATATTAAAAAATGAACAAAACTAGTTTCTTCTTTGTTTTGGCAATTTCGATTTTACTTTTTAAGGCATTTTACCAATTTTAAAAGTCCTTCAAAAGAATCCAAAATCAAAACCGAAAATGTTTGGAAAACAAAGAAAAAGAAAAAAAACTATATTTTTTGATAAATCCCCAATTTCCTAAGCCGAAAAATGGGAAAGTTTTTCAAAAACTTTAGCCTTCTCTTAATCCATAACAAAAAAATAAAATTAAATTAAATAAGACAATCTTACTTTGGTGTTGTTTGTCAGATTGTGATTGGAAAAGGGTCTGGATAGCCACAAAACTCATGCTTCTTTTGGTTGTGTTTATGTGTGTGTGTGTGTGAGAGAAAGAGTTGAAAAGCCTCTCCCTAAAACTGTTTTCTAACCCTAATGTTGAAATTTGAAATTTAACAATAAACCCCCTATAGAAACACATAAGGATGAACACACCCTCTGCCCAAAAAGAAAATTTATTGTGATCAAAAGGAAAAAGCATAAAAAGACAAAAGTGTCTTTTTCACCCGGTCATGACCAGCAGGTTTGATCATGGACCAGAGGACTGGTAAATGCAAACTGGTTCAAAGGACCGACTGGTTAAGGGGGTGACCGGACTGGACAAGGCACTGGTTCACCGATTCCCGGTTCAAACCAACCAGTCTTGACATCATGCGGTGGGTTAAATGACATCAGCTAAACCTTTTAGACAGCTAATTCACACATAAGTGAAACATGAACTGTTGTTATTAGCATACTAATCAACTTCAATCAATGACAAACATTTTAAACAACCACAGGGGTTCATTTCTAACATTGTCGTTTTCTTATTCTTATTTACCCTCAGATCTGTGTGGGATATGTGACATTGGATGATGCATACCTGACCACTTGTAGGTTCATACAGCCGAAGCAGCAAATTAACTAAAGTACTTTTCCCACTACCACTAAGTCCAACCTGATCAATGCAAAGATCAGGTAATCATTCTATTTAAGAAAAAAAAATATAGGGGAATGTGAAAAGATGAGGTAATCTGCTTCTTACAATTGCAACCACCTCTTTTGGATATATCGATAAGTTTACATGCCGCAAAGCAGGTACCTGTTTAAATTCATACATTAGTGTCGTTTTTATTTGATAGAAATATAAATTTTAGAAGAAAATATTCAAAAATCAATACCAAAGCAACAATAGGTGGTTCTAGAGTTTAACTGCATGCACGTGTAAGTGTACATAATCAAATGAGCCCATTATTGAACCAATGCAGGAAGAGGAGAAGATTAAATAAAGATTCCATAAACAATTCAAAAGGGTACCTTGAACAGCATATAGGTATGTGAGTCTGTGAGTGTGTGTGTGGAAAGGTACTAGGTTCGTGTCACTGATAAAAATATCATTTTCCCCAGTCATTAGAAGGAACAACTTACATTACATGATCTTCCTGGCAAGTATTCTCCCCAAAAGAAAGCAAATGAACTAACGGTATGTTGTTAGGTGGACCTTGCAAGTAATAAAAAAAGAATATGAATAAACTGTGCTAATTAGACTTCAAGGAAATGCGGACAGCATTATTCAGATAGGAATATCACATCAGGACAGAGGCTCCCACCACAATGTTTCTAAGGTAATTAAGCATTGACAGTTGGGTCAATCACAATAGACTAGCGGCATAAGATTAAAATGGAGTATAATTACAGTCAATAGATGAAGATGATCGACGAACAATGGGATATGTTACTGCACTTTGAGATCTAGAGCTTATTCCACTACATCACTTTACCTACGCGTGTAGTACAGTCGTCTCTCTCTCTCTCTCTCTCTCTCTCTCTCTCTCTCTCTCACTCTCATTTAATGTTGGTCATATCCAAACTTTTATTTTTATGTTTTTGGTCCAATAAGACACAGGACACATCCGTATTAGTATTCATGAGAGCATGATCTATGAAAGTGTTAATGATTGGCCAGTCAATGTCAATATATACTTTGAGTTCCTTGCAGATATACATCATCTCCAATTGTCTTTTACTTGTTATTCATTGAGAGTTGGATTCATTTATTAGGCCAACAAGTAACTTAGTATAGGTGGCCAGCAACAAGTAACTTAGAATAGGTGGCCCACATTCAGTGGCCTCAGAATCCTCTACTCTGATGTAACCAATGGGCTCTATCTCCGACAGATTCCTACATGAACAATGTAATCGACATCTCATCAAGTCTAATTAACACAGTTGAATCTGGACCAATAATCTTCTGATTAAAAATCTCAAACCTCGTACTAATATTTTAATCCAATGACAACAAAAAGTAAAGAATATTTCCTTTTTTATTAATAGACCAGAACAATTAGTTGCCGCAGGCAACCTAGTACGAGAACAATATACAAATCCAACATGATTAGAAGAATCATCCTCAAGTACAATAATTGGGATAAGAAAAATCACTAAATTTCACATACTTGTCATCCAACAAAGCATCATGTTTCATATGCTACTAAAAATAATAATATTCTGTTTTCTATATAAACAACATAAAGTGAGGCTCTAGTGACAGCATGTTTCAAGAGGATGAACAACATAGTTGTCGTTTTACCCATTTTAGCAAGGGTCTTAAGGATGACAAGTTGGACTACAGCTCATCTCTCATGGGATACTGAAGGAAATACTTCTGCCAATAGGGGGGGATGAGCAATGGATATGACGAGAAGATAGCTCAGGCCATTTCAAAAGGAGGTCTTTTTACTAAGCATTTACAAGATTCGGACTGCAGACCCACATACCAGCTCCACCTAAAGCAGGGGGATCTGAGAGTATTGCAGTCTTTGGAGTTCACCAAGTGAGGCTGCTGATGAAGGCAATTTTGAACACCGCACTTTCCAGAAGCTGCAGTTCACTCATAACTCTGGTTCGCCATTATGATCACTCATTTCGAAGGTACTGCAGAGCTCTACAGACCAAAACCAGGATATAGGCGGTTTTAAGCATTGTACCTTCCAGAGGCTATGACTTTTCACTCATAATTCGGATTCGCTATCATGACCTATCGTTTTGAAAGTATCGGAAAGCTCTATTATATCAAAGCCTACTACACCAGTTTTTCCCACCGAATTTTGCCGACAAATGCTTTTAAAGGCCCGAAATCTGAGTCCAAACTTTTCCCCAATTTCTGCACTGTATTTGCTTTTGTGACTCCTAGTTCAATCTATTTAAAATTGGCTTTTAAATTTCCCTTTTGTTTTCAGAAAAGTTATCAGGTCATTATAATTATTTATATTGTTTCTTTCTTCATCATCTGTTATCAGAGCATGATCGTTCCTAGGGCACCCTGATACTTGCAAATGACTGCGATGACTGCTAGAGGAGCTCAAGGAAGCCATGGTCAATGGTGGAGTTGGTCCTAGACAGGAGGATTTCAATAATTTAATGAGACGATTCCAGGAATTGGAGCGTGAAGTGCATTGAACCACTCTGGACAAGGTTCAATCACGCATGACCTTGATTAATAAAATTCACTAGAGGAAGCTAAAATTTATCACAACCAAGATAGAGATATCTCGATGTGTTTGAGGATCCGTTATTTCATGCTCTTGAAGGGGCAGATCATGGTATTCACGGAAGTGGGCCCGAGTTCTTAGGTTATAAGTGAACATATGAACTCATAAATTGGAACCATTATAGAGGTTTTTTCCAAGTTGAAAGGATTATGAAAGAAAAGAAGGTTAAATTTGTGGTATCCAATTGAAGGTTCATTTGTCCTAATCTGTAGCAACAGGTACAGGCTAGTCGTGTTTAAACACAGAAAGAGAAGATGGCAACCTAGAGGAAGATGAAATCATGCTTCCAACAGAAGTTCGCCCATCTAACTACGCCCAAGACTTGTACCTAAGGTTTCATCACGCGACAAAAGGAGAAGTGTGTGCAAGCATATAAATGAATTCTACTTGTTGGTGGGCCGCAGTGAGATCCATGACAATGATTATCAGCTTGTCACATGTTATGAAAGTGGCCTGAATATTCACATTCAAGATGAATTGACTTTACATCAAGGATACAGCCTTGATGATGCCCACCAAATCGCGTTAAAATTCGAACAAAAGTGAGGAAGAGTTTGTCTTGCGCTCCCATATCAAGATTTCTCTTCAGCCCTCAAAAGACGCACAGCTACTTCAAGGCAGCAAGATGTGGCTAACCCAAATCCTCGACCTGGTAAATAGGGCAAAGGCATGAAAAGGCACTGCTGTCCCAAGTTTTTAAGTGTGAAGAAACTAGGCGTCACTCCTGTTACACCCTAAAAGGCAGGCCGGAACTCATCTCTATGATGTGGATGAGTATTATGAAGGAGTTATTGAGCTGGGTCCTATCTATGATGAACCCCGAAAGGATTCAAGCTCAATCTACCCCCATTTGAGGGTGAATTTCTTGTAATCAGACATACTTTCAGCCCCAAAGGTGGTGGGAGAACCCTAGCTGCGAAAAATTATCTTCCACACTAGATGCATAGCATAGGTAAGGTTTGCACTACTATCACTGACAAATGGGAGCTGCAGCAATATGGTGTTGCAAGAGATGGCGGACAAGCTCAAGTTGAAGGGGTAAGAAGCATCCTCATCCACACAAGATTTCATGGTCCAAGCGAAGTAATGAAATCACCCTCACCATTATCTAGTTACTTTTACCATGAGAACAACATATAAGGAGTCAGTTTGGCATGATGATAAATTTTACTTCCATGATCCCAGAGCCAGAGCTCACTTCCCTATCAAGGGATGACCCCTATCTCATAGGGATCTCTAACCTTGACTAAAAAGGATCTTGACCCCTATAGAAGGGGGGTTGCGAACCCACAAAAAATATGGAGGTATGATCCTGATTTGAAGGGATCTTTATTAAGAAAAAACGGACTTCACCATTCTTACGAGTCACCTCAAAAGAAAATACGGATTTCATCTCATTTAAAGCAACCTCATCAAATACGTTGTTTGATGACCTAAACATAACTAGCATGCCCTCATGAAAACTAAACCTATGTTTAACTTTCTCACCATAAACATTGTAATAAACCAATGTTTGACAACTCGATATCTTAGGGACTGATAGAGGATTCTTCCTTGTCTCAAAAGCAAACAAGGTGTCATTGAGCACCAAAGAGGTGTCGTAAGCAAGACTAAGAACATAGCCTTCTTCTCTGGGCACTGCAGCTTTTTGTTTAGCTCCCATGTAAACATGTCGCTCACCCGGTGCTATAGGTTTGAACGACCGATATTGTTCCTTACTGTTCGCCGCATGAGATCTGGACCTAGAGTCTAAGCCCCAAGATATGTCCTTTGTGACTACTGCCATCGATTGGGAGCACACACAAGCGAACACCTTGCTCTTAACTTGAACATTCTCAATAGCTTCCTCCCACCTCTTAACGTTTCCAAGTTTTCCACATTTTAAACATTTGGTTTTATTAAAAAATTGTCCTTATTGTTAGGATTAATACCCCTCTTAGATGAGGAAACAGAAATTCCAAAAATTGCATCCCACCAAGAACATGTATTTATCCAGCAAGAAACAAAATAGGCGAGAGTGCGAGCCATAATACGAGAAATAAAGCATGAAACACACACGCCACAAGAACACTGATTTACGTGGAACAGCTTCTCTATAAGAAATCAGCCTCTCAACCTCTGAAGGCACCATAGTAGCTTTTCTCTCCATATGAAGCTCTCTTCTCTCTTAGGGCAGGCCTGGCGTCTCATGCACAGGAGGCCCTTGCCTCTCTCTCTAGAGGAAGCCACCTTTCCCATATGGTGACCCAAATAGGGTACATCTATTCTTTCATCTTTCATCCCATATGTATAAGGTTAGGAGTCCAGTCTAAATAGGAAAAGTCTCATAGATATCATATATTTCTCAAAAACCAATAGATATATCCAAGAGTCGTAATCCTTTTGAATTTCTATTTCCTTTAAAAAACTTATCAATATCAATCCCAATCCCACATAATATGGGATTTCCTTATGTTGGGTGATTTTTGGATATCACCATATCCAACATTTCATGGGCGAGAAGGATTTGCCATTTGTTTTATTCTCTATCTTAGACGTCTTTTGATTATTC